AAGATAATCCGAAGTCTAAAGCTAGTCAGCAGCATGACTATAAAAATGCGGAGCTAAGTCGACCGGAAGACTCTAAAAATCCAGAGATAAAAGGTGACGTTGGGAAACACCATCAAACCCATAACGTTTGTTTAAATACAGCTGCAGGTACGAGCAAACAAGTTAGCGATAAACAACATAAATATGCGAACTTAAACCAGCTATTCGAAAAACCATTTACCCAAAGGACACCTAGACATATGTCCATTGAACCACAAACATCTACATACGCATATAGTTTGCAAAACCAAAATGAGAAAAAAACATATAACTACATCACACGAACCTATATCGAAAATATACACAAAATCCAAACTTATTTAAACCGCAACCCCATATCAACCACAAAAGCACCAAACCAAGATTATTTGACACAAAAGTTACAAGGATATAACAAGTTAATTGCACGGCAAAAAACTAACGCTAATTTAATAAGAACAGGTTACAACTACGGACTGTTAAATACCGTATACACATACGACGGAGAAGAAGTTAGTGGAATACCGGAGCTACACAAAGCATTAATCACATACAAAAGAGTTACAAAAGGGAATTTATTTTATATAAAATTCTATACAACACCAGCGGAGATATTATACGAGGAAATAAAACCTCCAATAGTAGGTCGTTCTTCTGGCTTAAGTAATGATAAAATCCATCTTTGGACTTCATCCATATCTGCTTTCCTTAGCTCCCTTGAATTGGAATAAATCATTAACTGATCTCTTGCATAGTAGCTCCAAAAGCGAGATACCCAGTTTTTATGCCAATAAAAGAATAATTGGTATATCAACTATTATACAAGAGCTAGCAAATAATTATTTAAACGGAAACGCTATATGGAGCTACTATGCAAGAGATCAGTTAATGATTTATTCCAATTCAAGGGAGCTAAGGAAAGCAGATATGGATGAAGTCCAAAGATGGATTTTATCATTACTTAAGCCAGAAGAACGACCTACGACACGAGCACTAAAAGTAGGATTTATTTCGGCAGAATTGTTAACCAGATATTGCAAGCTAATTGGTCACAAGTACCCTGACCATATATGTTCAAAATGTAACGGAGAAGATAATATAATCCCAGACGTCCAGCTGGAATAAAGTGATAAAGACGGAAGCATATGATAAGAAGATAAGATGATGAGAAGATAAAGACGAAGAAAAAAAAGACATATGGCAAAAGCAAATAAAAAGTCACGAAAGTGTGTCATAAAGTTGGTGTATTATATATGTAAAAAGTCATAAAGTGTGTCATTGTG